GGAGAAACCCGGGGCAGTTGCAGGGGGAGAGCTGAATCTCGGCTCTCTGCTGCTGCCCGGGGAGAATTCCCCCCCCCCCCTCCGGCGGCGGCCTGCATTCAAACGGGGCTTTTGGTGCACGCTCGAAATGTCAACTTGCATCGCCGTGAAGTTCGCGAGCGCTGTCAAAAGATCTGCTCCTCAGACTCCCACTCTGACGTTGCGAGTGCAATTGATTTCCCGCGGAGTTTGCTCGCGAGGAGGCCTGCATTGCGCCGATTTGGGAGTGCGGGGGAAACCTGTGTGTGTGTGTGAGAGAGAGAGGGGGGGTTGTCGCAAGTCAGGTGCCTGGAGGGGAAAACGGGTTCGTATTTCAAGCGCAGATCGGAATCTTTATTTTTTTTAAAAAAACATTTAAAAATCTCTGATTGTATTTAACACCATCCAGGGAAAGCAAAGGGTAACTGAGCCAAGGCCTTTCCGGCTGGAATCCAGGGCGGTCGGTGTGTTAACGCCCCCTGAGTTTTTCGTTGGGATGCTCTTGTTGACATAGAACCGCATCCAAGAGTCTTTTTAATTTTGGCGGAGCGTCATTAGCTCCTGTGGGACGGTTTTGCTTCCCGAACGTGCATCTTTTACAGGGCAGTCTTATGCTTATGCCGGATTAACTCCGCAGAGGAGTGCAGAGCTCGTCTCCCTTGACGCCCCCGCCCACCCACAAGCACCTCGGTTTCCCGCGGCTCCCTACGGATGAGCTGGAGGCCTAGGAAAGAAAATTGTTAAAATTGTCCCGTCTGTGCATGTTTACTGGGAACGGAAGTCATCCCTGGACTGTTCAATGGGAGCTGCTTCCTAGTAAACCCGTATAAAAAACTTGCAGGCTTCGTTAACCTGGGGCTCTTAACAGGCTTTTCAGACAGAACCTATCTGAAGAAGTGTGCCCGCACAGGAAAGCTTATACCCAGAAGTAAGTTGGTCTTCAAGGTTGCCACTGGGCCCAGAGTTCGTTCTGCGGCTTCCGACCCACACGGCCACCCCTCCTGAATCCAGGCTTTTCAAATGTCACCCTACTCAGAAGCAAGGCTCCCTCGAAGCTGTGTAGTCTTGTGAGCAAAAATTCTACTCTGTAAACTACTGGCATTAAGGTTGTGAGCGAGCGATTTGGCTGCTGCATAAATTAGTTTGCTCCGGAGCCATCCTTCCTGAGGCAAGGCAAAAATGTGTGAGCCGGAGGTTTAAAAAACTGAACTAGCTCACACTAACTCGTCTTAGAGGGAACGCAGCTCAGACGTTCCATGGAAAAAGGGATGGGATGGAAGTCTAGCGGGTGCAAAAACGGTGGGGAGATTTGTTTCAGGGACAGCCTGCTGTACAAACTTCCTACTTCCTCTCTTTAAAAAAAAAATACAGAATACAGGGGGCGATGTTTGATCTTTCACCTGGTAAAGGTGATCAGGTGTCCAGGTTAGATTTCGGATCGAGGAAACGGGGGATCCGGAGCTTGGGAACAGTCTCCTCGCAACACGAACAATTTATTATTCTAATTTAGTTCAATTTTTTTTTAAGAGTTGCAATCCTTATATTTTCCCCTCCGCAGAATTCAGGTGGTCTGCTAAAACCATTCCACTCCCCCCGAAGCAAGCGGCGTCGGACAGGCGCCGTTCTGTCCTCCTCTGCCCGAGGTTCCTCGTGGCCCCGGCTTCTTTCCCTGCCTCGCCTTCCCAACGCCAAACGGCAGAGAGGCGGAGGGAAGCGCCGCCTTTTTTGCGGCAAAGGCAGATTCTTCTTCTGCCCCTGCCGGGCCTCCTTCGCTGCTCTGATTCGGCACCACCTGCGTGCCAGATTGACAGGTGACACCGCTCGGGCGGAGAAGGGCGCTGGGCGATTCGCTCCGTGGGGGGGGGACCTGGTCAGTTTCAGCGCCCGGCCAAGCTTCAGCGAGTCAGTTTCAAAGTCGGGCCGGGCCGCGGGAGTATTCTTGGCCACAACGCAGGGTTAACCCTGAGGGCTGCAGCCAAACCCAGTCCTCCGGAGCTCTCTTCTGTGCCGGACCAAATCCTGTCCATCCTTCAGACCCGCCAGATTTTAAACTTCCCGCGCCGGGGTGGGGTGGGGGGGGAGATAAAGTCCCAATTGGCCCGTGTCATTCCAGAGTTCCCACGTGGCAGTTTCCAGGCCCACCTAAACAAACACTTTCTTGTCATGGAAATCTAGTCACTCTTTAAACGACTTGCCAACAGCCCCTTCCAGCGTTTTCCTTTCCTTTCTGCCCAACAGCTGGAGGGGAGGGGGCGTAGAACCTGAGCCACCTGGGTCCAAGGCCCAAAGCCCGAGAGCCCGATCCGGATCAAGGAAGAGGAGTATTTCGCCCGCCGCCGTCTAAACCCAGCCACGCTTCAACTCTCCATCCAGGCCAAGCGAAGAAGCCCGCCTGTTTCCCCTCCGCCCTGGAATTTAGGGGCGAGGAAAGGTCTTCCTTTGAAACCTGCAGCATCCGGAAGGGCTTGGCTCGGTGCCTTGGAGAGTTTAGGAATTCCAACCCAGGTTCCGACCCTGGGAAGCAAAGCCCCCTCGCTCTGATAGACCTCCCTCCTCCTAAGCAGGTCCGGCAGATTGCGGTGGGACTTTTGCATCTGGAGCGAGGGAAGCTTTGGCTGGAGTGTGGGGGGGGGGACAGGAGGGGGGGACAGGAGTCTTGGGGGCACCTTAAAGGCTGGGCTGGCCCAGTCCACCCCTCTAGAAAGATCTAACTTCTCACCAGGGCGGTTTGGGATCGCAGCCTCGAATTCTTCCGGGGTGCAGCGCCTCGAGCAACCACGGCCTTTCACTAGCAAATTTTAAACCCACGACTTGGACAGTTGATCGACAGGCGAGTCCTGATCGCGAAAGAGCTGCGGGGGAGGGGGGCGGCGGGGGGGAGATGCCCCTGTGCTTGCATTCCTGGACAGACGTCTTCCAGCTGAGTCGGCTTCGAGCAACAGCCAGAATCCTCGGGCACGTCTCTGCTTGGAAACAGGCCCCTTAGCGAACCCAGCGGGGCTTGCTCCCGAGTCAGCGCGCCGCTTTCCACCCAGGGACCCCTTCCAAACCACGCCGGGTAATAAACTGAGCCAAAACGCTTTGGCTCAGGAAAGACACGTTTGAGCGAATCCCAGTGAGGAGTCGAAAGAGAGAAAGGGTTGCAATGACAGGGGAGGCGCGACCCGAGAGGTTGTTTTGAGCTGCCGCTGTGGACCGCGAAGGGTTGGGGGCTGGGGGGGGGGCTATCAGTCTAGGCCTTTGTCACCGTCCCTTCTCTAGGAAGTCCGCGCTACTGTGCAGGGCCAAGGGCGTGTGTGCGGCGACGCTTTGTTTACCTACAACCCCCACCTCTTTAATATTTATTGTTATGCTAAACCCAATTTCCCCATCTGCTCAGCCCACGCCGGAGCGCAAAAACGGTTGCCATAAGGGACTCTCCGCTGGGTTGTTCCTCCGAAGAGAAGCACAGGTGGGTAGAGAGAGAACTCTTGGGGAGTTCAATCCGGTGTGTGGGGGGGGACCCAAAGGGTTCCCAAAAATACCCCTGGAGCCTGACGTTTCGCAGCCCCCCAGGCCAATGGGGCTTCCGCCCAGGCCGGGACCGCAGCCCCTGGGACCGCTTTCTCGAGGAGGCAGCCAAGCCGCTAGTCCGCTTTGATGTCCAAAGGCGAGCAATTCCGCCGCTAAGCAGATTGGAAAGTATTAGCCTCTAGATCTCAAGCAGCTTTTCCCTGGCGGGGAGCCCCGGCGAAACCTCTGAATTGCTCTAAGCCTTCTTCGAGTTTGCTGCCACAGAGGACTAACCAAACCCCAGCGTCAGGCTTTGGTGAGTCAGAGCTCACTTCCTCCCTCAGCATCTGACCAAGCGAGCTCTCGGGCACCTTGCATGCGGGAATGCAAACGCGCCGCCCGGCCTCCCTGGACGCCAGTATTGTTCTGAGCAGCCCAGCACGGCTGCGCCTCTGGAAGGGCCTTGGCCCAGCGCTCTAGACCCGCCGGCCTGACTTTCCACAGCAGGATCGGGCCGAAACGGCCGCTTGTTCTCCCAACCAGAGCTCAAATGCTTCCTCCCAGCGTGCAGCCGGAGTGTTCCCTCTAAGCTGAGTTAGTGTGAACTAGCTCACATTTTTTAGCCTTCAGCTCATAGGGTTTTTTTTTTTTTTGGTCTTAGCTCAGGAAGGATGGCTCCAGAGCAAACCCGTTTATGCAGTAGCCAAATTGCTGGCTCACAACTTTGATGCCAGCAGCTCACAAAGTAGAATTTGTGCTCAGCAGACTCCACAGTTTAGAGGCGGCATTAACTTAGACGACTGAAAACGGTTTCTAAAAGGGGTCATGGGAGTCCGCAAAGCCGCTCGTCTTCAGGAGCGGTGGAGTCCGGAGTCACATCTTGGAGGAGTGGGGGGGGGGGAGAGTCACACCCTGCAGGGGGCCCTTAGAACAAAGCCCCTTCTTGGGGGGCAAAGGGGGTGGGTGGGGGTCCCCGGCCTGATTGCAATTCTTGCTTTCCCGCCCCCCTCCCCAGCCAATTGCCAGCGCTGGAT